TTAATCATCTAAAAATCTATTCAAATTCTGAACCCAGGCCTTTGTTTGTAATTTGAATATCAAGTGTCAACAATGTCGTTGATTTTTAAAGGGATGGAACAACCATGGTATATAATATATTTTTGGTTGTACAATTAATCTGTCTGGCTCGTACCTCTTGTCTCATACAGCCTTTCCAGCTTTTGTGATCATCTTGCATCTCTACTGGTCCTACCGCCACATAAGGCGGTTTTCCAGGAGGCCTTCGCCCTCATCTATTGGCCACCCGACTCCCACCTTTGTCTGGGGTCGGCCATCCTCATTTTCGAGTTAGGCAAGGTGAAAATATTGAAATACAAGGCTTTCCAATAATTTCCCGGAAAGTTCCATTATTTTTCGAAAATAAAAATAATAAAAATATTCGAACACCAATTCTAATAAATAGGAAGCTTGAGCAACACGACATTATAAAGCTTTACGATTTTCCACATGTAGCACGTGAATAAAAAGAATTTTAAAATATCACTTCAAGTAGACTCTTCGATGTTTAATGGACTTTGTATGAAATTTTGTTTCAAAACGGTAAGTCTGTATATTCCTAACTTCAAATGTATTGATAATAGCCTTTTGTAAATATCATTTTTAAAAATCAGCCGTATATGAATGGTATTCACGATTTAAAAATGGGAGAGAATTAGTGGATTCACAGGATTCCTGAAAACACAAAAAAGAATTGAGAACTTAATAAAATCCACGAATTAGCGTACTTGAAATCGCGATAGAAAAAAATATGGTTTTACGGGCTACTAACCAAATTGAATGATTTTCGAGCTCAAAAGTGAACGTAGCAAGCAGACAAACTGCAATGTGCTGTTATAAAAGTACTAAGGTCCTGCACGCTACCAAAGATGTTCAAAAGAAGTTAGATTCCCCAGGCCAGGGAAGATAAAAGAGTTATTACACGGTATTTTAGGTTTATTATACGGATGATTAGATAAGAAGAGTAAATAAAACGGGAATAATTCAACAGCTTCTGGGAAAAGATGAATTTTGTTTTTGTAAAAATAAAAATCAAAAACTTTTGAGTAAGATCAAAAAAATGTGTTACTAAAAAAATGTTTGATAATGAGGTCTTTTAGCAAGGATTAGTAGTGAGGGTACCAGTACTAAGACAACCAACCACAAAAGTACACCAGAGATTGCATAGCGTGTTCAAATGGGTCGCTCTATTAGTCGATTTCCCGATAGGCCTGCGTTGTCGAATCGTCAAGCCATCTGTCCTCTGTCGTGTGGTTACAGAGACAACGTCAGGGGCGATCACATACGCAGGGCAGGTCGCGAAACCGATCGTAAACAGCGGCACAACCAGAGTTGCGTCTACAAGCGGCCACTAATAACCGGTGTTAATCATGAGGTGAGGAGTCCGAGTTTGCGTCTATTTTGACGGGAGATTTATCCTTTCTTTTCATGGGCCATTTTGTTTTACTACACCAAAATGGACATTCCGAAGGCCTCTTTATAAACCAACACAACAATCTCGAGACGGACCCTGGAAATACACCTTCACCCGTCGTTTGCCTGGTCGACTGGAGATACAGTTCAATGGCTCGCTGGATGTTTTATAATATTGCCATAATGCAGCCATCGCAGATACAGAGGTTGGTCATCATGGAAAGTCCAGTAAGGCACTTTCCATAATGTGACATAGGATCTGATGCTGTTTAAGGCTCCCTAGGTGTTTAATGTTGTCTTTTTAAATAGAGTATCCGATCAAGGCTATGAAACACCCAATCTCTCTTTGATTCAATATAATTTTCTTTTCTTCTAGATAAGCTGCCAATCATGGCTGAAGATATCTATCTTTCCGAATTTCTTTCTGCCAAGATCCATTTTATCATGGTATCATTGGTATCATGGTATAATTGCTTTAAAGTTGCGCATTTATAATTTTAAAATATTTTAAATTTCTATGATTTCCGTTAATTTATACGTATATATTGGTGCTCTCACATGAAATGAACACATTCAAATATTGATGTGACCCACGAAACTACCTACATAGACGCCGCAACTATATTGGTTTGATTGAAAGAAAGTTTTCGAGCAATCCCTTTTTAACTAATCACCTTTTTGGTTAGCTGAAGAAGGGCTTGCCCGAAAAAGCTTTCTTCGAAAAAATCAATAAAAATCGTTGCGGCTATTTATATATTTTTCTAATACTTGAATTTATTCGTCACATGTGCGAAGTGCAAATACTCAAGTTCTCTCATATTAACAAATGTTTATTTTTGAGAGAAATTCCTACAGCTACAACATATTTATCTGAAATATACAGAGGGTCGAGATTGGAGATAGATTTAATGTTTAAATATTTACCATCAGAATCCTTTTCAACAGACTCCCACACAATTTGTATATACAGGGTTCCTCAGACTGATGAGATTCCAAGTTTATATTTGTAGTTGTCTCATATTTGCGAGTGACTGTTTACATATGTAAATGAAGGACATTCTTGGAATCTTAAACCTGTACAGTAAACCGATTTAGTCATAGGTTTCTATAATATATCTCAAATTATATTGTTGCATCAATTTTGATGCGCCCTACATTTATTCAAAATATTCTATGATATTTAATATTATTTGAAACAGATTGTATACTATGGTATCATTTCTTTTGATAGTTTCATTCCTTTTATAATATTGTTATTGTATTTATATTGATTGTTTATTGGAGCGAGAGAGGATCTACACGAAGATTCAGAATCACGACCTAAGAGGAAGGCAACGAATAAATAAACACAATAACTTTAAAAGATAATTTACTTTTCTTTATTTGCTTTAAGTATGGAAACCCGCTCGGGAAACGTGTATAACACCATGAAGGAGGAAACCAAGGTCGATGATTCTGCAAAGCTGCAACTTGGTGCAACAATATTTTACAAAATTGAAATTGAAAGAAATACAACCTTTACTCTATGAAATACGGATCAATTTCTCTCTATCAATAGACTACACAAGTGTAGAGAGCAATTTAGACATTGTAGCCGCAATGTATCAAGGCGTGGCTGGATGAAGTCAAGTGTCCTACCAATATTTACTTGGGACAATCCACCTCGCACACAATAATTGAATTAAGAGCTGTGGCCCCACATTGCCTCTAACTCAATCTGACAATCCTGGCAAGCGCCAATTAAGGAATAGTTGAGGATTTTCTCATTGGCAGGAATTTTGTAATAATTCTCTCCTGGTTTTGATAACTACTCATTGGTTGTGAAAGCTGCATTGTCTTAATTGTATTGTGGCATTAGTACTGGAAACTCTTGTATGCCTCGGATATAAACTTTTATTTTTATTTTCTACAACATCAAACAACAGCATTTTTTTTTTCAATATTTTAACTATACAAATGATAATAAACTTAAAAATATATATATAATAAAATTCAATATTTACCGAATTGGAAGAGCGATGCGACGCACGTCGATTCGGCCACCTAGCGGGATGATAATGCGGCTTATGATTGTAGAGCGACATTTGAAAATTATCCCGCATGTGTTTCTTTTGAATGAAAATTCGAAATTTATTTTAAGGAGAAAAACCATTATTTCTAACCTTAGGGATGAAGTATGAAAGGATGAATTGTGAAGAGTAATGATAAACGGAAAAATAAAATTAAAATGCCCAGGGATGGGAATCGAACCCACAGTGTTCCGCTTACCGGTTTTAACCGGCCGCTCAAATTGAAAATGTTAGAACCGGTTTTGGTTTCAGAATCGGAATTAGTCGATTTGATGATCCGGTTCAAACCGGTTTGGGCACTTCGGGGAACCAGTTGAGGATTATTTTCTCCTTAGGAATAAACTTATACCAAATATATTGGAAAGACAGGTTCATAATTGAAGAAAAGTCTTCTTGATCAATTGTCCTCATGTTTTCTAGAAAGTATTGGTAGGGTCGCGAGTTAGATTGGATAGAATGACAATGCCAGTAGGTGTTAAATATTTCAAAACTAGAGTGGAGTCAAGTTTATGGACTCGTCATCTTCTTATTTTATTTTCGCACAAAGATAAACAAGGAAAGATTTGCTTGAATTTTTATATATACGATGTATATATACAATGATGTATTTAAAAGTTGCAAACATCTATTTGAAAAAATAAACATGTACATAAGTGGATCAAAGGGTTAAGCTATCAACCTATTGAACGATTGTAAATGAAGAAATATGAGAGAGTTCTTTATTATTGGCTATTTTTTCACATAGTTTAAGGTTTCTATTTCTTCAGGAATTATTCGTACCTTTTGTTAAATCATAAGAGAGGATCCGATACGAGGATGCGACAGCAATACCTTTGGCGAAACGAATATTTTATATGGAAGTATTCAGTGCATGTACTAGTTTTTTGTATTCATTTGAAGGTATAGGTTCCATTTAGCATATGAAACTTAACCACCCACAATTTTACAATATTGTTACGTCGTACCCAGACGCTATTCGTGTACTTTGTCTAATCAGTATGCCACAAAGACACACATATGAGTTCGAAGGGATTGCAGCTAAAGTTAGCGCTTTATTGTATCTCACTTAACAGAAGGAATACAACAGTGGGACTTGCCTTCGACCTTCCCATCAGAAGAATCCTTGGCGCCGTGGATGTTCTCTTGTGAATCGTTCCGCTCCACACAATACACGTCCAGCCTGGCCCACACCGCCTTGTAGGATCATCCACACACCCGGAGGCAAGACACCACGTCTTCTCCTTGCCGCAGATGTAACCAGGAACCCACCCACAGGAATGCTGTCCAACCCTCTTTCCCCAACTTTACTCTAGTATACAATATAATACACTGCGGCCTGTGATTGTAAAACGACACTTTAAGCTACACCGCATGAGTTTCTTTTCAACGAAAAATCATTTTTTTTTATTTCAAGGTGAAATATCGACTATTTCTAACCTTTTTGGATGAGGTATGAAAGGATGAATTATGAAGAGTAATGACGAATATAAAAATAAAAGTGTCCAGGGATGGGAATCGCCTAGTGGACATGGCATCTGCCCGGTAAGCGGAACATTGTGGGTTCGATTCCCATCCCTGGACACTTTTATTTTTCCATTCGTCATTACTCTTCATAATTCATCCTTTCATACCTCATCTAAAAAAGGTTAGAAATAGTCGATATTTCACCTTGAAATAAAAAAAATGATTTTTCGTGGAAAAGAAAATCATGCGGTGTAGCTTCAAGTGTCGTTTTACTCTAGTAACAATATAGGTTAGTATAGTCATACTAGCCACGCCTGTTGAAGAACCGAAAGGTTCGAAAGCTAGCACAAGTATAATAAAAGATGTTCCTTCGTAAATCTTTTGATTCGTTATACAATTATATTGTAACGTCGAAAATTGGGAAAGACAAACCTCAGAATAACACGGCGATTTGTCTAAGGCAAAATCAAATAACAACCAATAAAATAACAGAGAGGTAATTAGAAAATCTTACAGTGTATCAAAATACAAGTATCAAAATAAAAATATATTCATAGAATAATAAATAATCTGCTACAATATTTTATGGCTAAACAACGCTATCTGTCTTTTCATGTATATCAGACTTGTTTAAAGAAAATCTACCTTCTATTTAAAACTTGAATCAACTTTAGAAAATAAAAGTTAAAATTGAGAAACTTAATCCTTACTTAGACTCCTAATTTATGGATTAAAATATTTAGAATTCAAAATTAAAATGTTTTTAATCGATTTTAATGAAATATTTAATATTTCTTTCCATCTAATTAATTAATTGAATATAAAAATACACAGATATTAAAAAATATGTAAATAAAATTTAATATAAACTCAATATCGCCTCCTTGTTAATTTCATTTATTTATTTAATATTTTTGCTTATCCCTATTACACGTGGTACAGGCCAGGAAATTCATGGTGGGTAGAAGTACACGAAGTGAAAAGTAGCTTTTATTGTAAGTGCACCGCATGTCCTACACATGTGAAAAGCAGTTCGACTTTGCACTTACACATGTACCAGAGCCCCGTGTGGTTACTTGCACTCGCTGTTGGGGTTGTACTTTTTCAAAAATCGGGGGCCATTGGAGCATCTATTCTTTTATCAGAAAAAATGCCCAATGCAGGATTCGATCCCGGGTCGTAGTGGTCGAAAACCAATGGTTTAGACCATCCTTCCACCGACCCTATTTTTTAATCAAATGGATTACTTATTTAATTTTCAACTCAGTTAAGGAATTAAAGAACTTAATTAACACAATGAAGTCAGGTTACTAGAGAAAAAACCAACTTCCCAACTGGGCAAGTTCGTGAGTATTACACAATGCTGGGATAGATACATCTGAACAATTTGAATACAAAATCTACCAGAGATAATATTAAAAACGAAAGTTCTTATTGGTTGCTATAGCAACCAAACTGCAATCAAGATTCTCAGTTTTATTTTTTTTTTTCAAAGCGGCAACGAAATTGGAAGAATATTGTGTGAATATAAGAAAGATTAGGTGTAGAAAATTGTGTGTATAATGAAGAGGAAAAAATATATAGTTATAATGAATACACAGTTTGTCAGAATTAGCTCGTCATCCCCCTATGTGATAAATAATTTAAAATTATTTTAATTATATTGTAGCAAAGTATTTCTTATTTTATTAACAGAGTATCATATTTTATGTTTATATTTTGCTACTCTGTAAACTTTCCTCATTGCTTATCTTCTTTTTATCATTCATAGTTTGTTCTTGCCTTAAATAAATTTCTGTGCAATCCCCGAAGTTTGTCTTTCCTAATTTTCCACGTAGCAATATAGTTTTCAATTAAAAACAATTCCTAACAGTATGATGAATCAAACTGGATAAACTGCTGAGTGGGTTTACAGCTAATAAATCGGCCCTCCCAATAGTTTTCTCATTGCATCAGGGATGGTAGAAATTTGTGAAAAGAGGATAAGATAGTGTGAGAATAATATCAATTATCGACAGTTTCAGGTACATGTTCCCATATGCACTGTACAAATTTGTCATATCAATAAGTATTTTTGTAAATGTTGCTCTAATCTTATATACATATGTTTCATTTACATACATAGAATATATAATATATGTCGTCAAGGTTACCTCAACATTACTGCATCAAGGAAATATTAGAAGAAAGGGCTTGGTTCATCATTAATGTAATCATTTATATACCTTTCCAACGGTTCCGCCATATTTCTCCATGATGAGTCAAACCCTCTCATCTAATAATATCTATCATTGCAATAAAGTCTGTAAGGGAGGTAATTTTCGAATATATTTATTTCATATGAAACACATAAATGCCATGAATATGTTAAATATAATCGCTATTTAGCAATTAAAATTGTATTTATAAACTTTCCATAGCAATCAATCCATAAATTATGATTGGAGTTGTCCAGAATTGATCAATTTCCATACTTTCTTTATATTTTTATGATAAATTTAAAAATACTTTTCCAAAAATACATATTATTCTTAAATTTTGCACATTCGCTTAATACATCTAACAATGCAAACGTACTAAATATCAGACTTCTACATGCCCATGAAGGTCAGGCATAAAATATAGAATTTGAATGTTTCCTTTCAAACGAAGAAAATAGGCAATTGGCTTTTCTTCCATATACAGTCAATCCATTGTACGCCCAATATACAACTCTGCTCTGTCAGAGGTCACAGCAGTATTCCGAGAAATGAATTAGAAGACAGAACATCTAAGCCTGAAGCAGATTTTAAATTACACCCCGTCTCTCAAAATAAAGCGCTGTCCGAAATATAAGATCTCAGATCATATCATTATGGAATACACAAGCATCAATATCAGAAGATTGATAGATACACCAAAAATATATCTCTATGCTACAAAAGGTCACTTCAGCAAACATCCTAACTGGCCATGACATACTACGCAAACATTTTGAAAGAGGATCCGATATCCCTCAACTGCTCGAATGAAGACCAAACAGTGGATCATCTCTGCTCAGCCTTCCAATACCAAAGATCTCTGACGGCTACTCTTTGAAGAATTCCCAATCTCAGTCTGGAATTTCTGGAAAGATATACGAAATTTAATAGGTTCTGCAGACTTTTTAGCATAAATAGACTACTTCATGCAGCTTGAGGAACTACACTACTAGGCGACTTGATGTACATCAATGTAAATAAATAAGTTACTTTAGAATATAACCCATTGTAAATAGCTCATTGTTTTTTAGAATTAATATACTTAGAAACAAGCTAATTTTTTGGACTTTGGTTAGATTGTAAATAAAAACAAAATACATAAGTCTGAATGACAACTTTTGAACGCTCCAGGAACCTGGGTTAATTATATAAATATAACATTTTACCTAATAATTCTGGATTTAATATTAATGTGTATTCTTAATTATTTTGTTTAGAATATGCATGATTTAACTTTTGATTCTTATGTTTTGAAAATTTAGAATTCTTTTGTCTTCAATATATTAATAGAATTAGAAAGCATAAGGAAAAATTAAATAATTAATTATTTAAATGTTCTAAAAGAAAAGAGGAAACAAATAAATATTTTAGCTTCTGCGATCGAGCAATTAGATATATATGAGTAAAAATAAAAGCGGCGGGGGACAATCATATATTCAGTGAAAGGTAAAAAATCAGTAAACATGAAAAAAACTCGCTAATTATTTTCCCATTATATTTAATCACATTAATTTCCAAATTCACGATTATCGTTTATGTTTAATATTATAAATCTAATTGCTCAATGGCAAAAGATAAAACATTCATTTTTACCTCTTTTTAGTACATTTTAATAAAAGATTTGTAAAGGTATTTTCATTTATTAAGGAGGGTCGTTGGAAGGATTGTCTAAACCGTTGGTTTTCAACCCGGGGTCGTTTCCCGCTTTGGGCACTTTTTTTCTGATTGAAAAAAAAATGCTCTAATGGCCACCGATTTTTGCAAAAGTCTAAACCCACCAGCGAGTACAAGTAACCAAATGGGGATCTGGCACATTTGTAAGTGCAAAGTCGAACTGCTTTTCATAAGTGTAGACATGTGGTGCACTTACAGTAAAAGCAATCGCTTACTACTACCCACCGTGATTATTATGGCCTGTACCACGTGTACTAGGGATAAGTGAAAAAAATATATTAAAAGAATTGTAAAAGTAATTTTCATTTATTAATTATTTTTGATATCTCTTACTCAAAAAAAAAAAATTATTTAATAGACTATTATATATTAATACCAATACTATTTTTAAAACAATAATAAACAATAAGAGGAGCTTCTTGTGTAAATTTCTTTATTACCGCAAGCTTTCGAACAGAACGTTCTTCAACGGGCGTGGATAGTAAAAACGTACTAACATGCTATTAGAGGAGAAAAACTAATATATACACCAATAAATTTACATATTGAAGAGATAATAGCGTAAAAAGAGAATACAACATAAATATTTAAAATGAAATTTACATAATACAAACGTGACGACTAAAAAATAAGCAATAAACTTGAATGAGACTAAAAACTAAGGTAAAATTATTATTAAAACGGCGACATCCCTACACCAAAAGAACAAAGAATAAAACAGTATATGGAAGTTAAAATCAACAAGACCAAGGCAGGGGAAAGGGAGGGCCCCACCCAGTGCTGCCACTATCTTTGAGATATAAGAGGGGGGGGGGGGGGGGTGAAAGACAAGCTATTTATAAAGTATCTGGTAAATGTCTGGGAGGTCTATTTTACGGTTACAACTATTGTTTTGTGTGGAAATAATAGATTCTAGGCAGAGTCGGTGATGTTTGTTATGTATGTGCCGGTATTTAACTTGAGGATGGTCGAGATCAAAACTATGGCCTGTTTGTGCTATATGCGTGAAAATTAAGGATTTAGGATCTTTATTGCGGATGTTACGTCTGTGCTCTGAAATACGGATGTCAGTGGTTCTGCCTGTTTCTCCAACATAAGAAGTTGGGCAATCCAGGCACTGTATGGAATAAACTGCGCCGGTAGAGTCTATGGGTAGGGTGGGTTTATCAGATTTGGTGATGTGATGTCTAAGGATGGTGGCTAA